GACTTGAGTCAAGTCGTTGGGGAAGAGCGTAGCAGGGAGGTGTGGGATGAGGGGAGGTAGAAAGAGAGGAGAACGGCGTGTGCACCCCTCCACCTTTACTCTGTCAAATGTTAGTCAAATGTTAGTCGTGCTTTGGAAAGAAGGAGGGAGTGAATGTAAAAGAGCAATTCCTTGAAATATCTCCTCATTTTTAGCTTAAAAAAACAGCTTACAAACAATCTTTCTTTATGCGACGCCTTCTCAAATGTTTTCAAGCTTATGCTGAGTTTTTTGTTTTATTTTTTTTGGCAGTTCTGTTGCCTGTAAATGTTTCTTCGTCTCCTTTGAGTCCGTGTTTCGTCCCGTTCCTCCGTTCACAGGAGGGTTTCCATCAGTTTCATGAAGTCCTTGCTTGTAGGCAAATTCACAGCGTTGTTCATTTTCACTAGTCTGGGCCGTCACTGAGGAGTCGCTGGAGCTTTGTGGAGTGTCCGGACTGCAGGAGGCGGCTACAGACCGAAGCAGGTCACAGTTTTTATGTTTTTTTTATTTGAATGTGGGATTCATGTTCTGCAGCCCCTCCAGGCCCGATCCTCTCAGGGCTGGCTTTTTTTTGTTTCTGCTGAGGAGGTGTTGTTGCTTTGCGTTTGGTTATAAGATGAGTGCTTCTCTTTATCGCTCATGTTTTTCACTTTGGCAGTGTCATACAAAGGTTTGGATCAGGMTATTATTATTTTTTTTTTTCATCATCTTTGAATTTATTTGGGTTGCAGAGAGGTGAGTCCGGTGTAGATTTTCTTGGCTCGCTAGCAAGGTAGTTAGCAGTTTAAAACTAATTCATTTTTTTCTCAGCATCACTATTATTCTTTATTTAGAATATTTGGACTTGTCTTTGTTTTCCTTTAAAGCCAGAAAGAAACCTTTAATAAATACTAAGCTGTGTTCTGAGGAATTAATCACATCAAGGCTTTACCCCTTCCCTCACACATAAAAAAAAGGAAAAAAATGTTTACGCTCTTTGCTCCGTCTTTGTTAAAGACAGGAAGTGCCGCAGAGAACTGTTTGGACTGTTAGTGCACAGCTTGGGGCTGCTTGCTGTTCTTCCATTAGTGCTAAATTAAAGGGAAATCCTATCCAAGTGCTAATTGGCCTAGTCATTCCTCGCCCATGCTGCCTTTTCACAGCCCTTACTGTGTCCTCGTGTGGACGGAGATTTACCGTGCTTATGTAACCGAGGGCACATCTTCAAGTCGCAGCTCGGCAAACACATCTGATATGTTTCTATGACGAGATAACGGGACGCTGCATGCTTTAACACGACGATGACACCCCCCTGGCTGGAATCATTGTGTCTGCGGCTGCGGTTGGAAAAGGAGGCAGAAAAACATTAGGAAGAAGGTGAGAAAACCGGTCTGTTAATAGCAAATCGTTTTTTAAAAAAGTTTGCGAGTGTTTAATTAATTGAGGTTGTGGGAAAGGGAGCAGTGTGCAATGGAGGTTCCTCAGTTTGGTTTTGTGTGGAGTTAGGCCACTGTCACAACAGGGGTCAGCGGGAGGTGGCGTCCAGCAGGGCGGGGGTGGCTGGAGTCGTGGAGCGGGAGGCACTGCTGGAGCTGCTCTCTTTGGGGCTGGCCGAGACGCTGCCGCCGCTGCCGGCACCCCCCGCGACGCCGCTCTGACCCACGAGGGACAGGGGTCCCGGAGGGGAGCTCTCAGAGTGGGTCGGGGGTGCGCTGGAGGAGCCCGACGAGCTGGAGGACGGGGTGCCCAGGGGGACGCCCTGCAGGCCCTGGCCGCAGACGTGGTGGTGCTTCTCCCAGTCTTTGTGCTGGCAGAAGGAGCCGCAGTAGCGAGCAGTGTTGCAGCCGCTGCACGTCTCGCTGGCTTTCCTCCCGCAGTTCCAGCAGCTCTGGTGGGACAGTGGAGGCAGAGCAGATAAATAACAACTTCCTAAGTCTATTAAACACATTTTAAATACTTGAATAAGCAATCTTTATAGCTTCGTTTATGTGGCCAGTTCACGCTCGACACTGGGATTTTTTTTTTGGCTCCAGACAACTGATTTGTATTACCAGCAGGTGGTGGTCATCTGCTCTGTAATGGTCTGAGCCTGGAACTCTGCTCCAGCCATCTGGATGTGTCTGCTTTATTCACACACACAGACCACTGGGGCCTGTACTACAAGCAGCTTCAACGTACACAGTTTATATTCTAATTATTTCACTTCAATCTGAAATTTGGGAAAATACGGTTGTCAGCTGGGTCCAAACGGGGTTCACAGCTTCGGGGTCTTTATCGCCCACCGCTGAAGGCGATGCTGATGTTTTGCTTGTGTCTGTGTGTGGTCATTGTCTGTCCCAGTGGTCATAAACCAGTGGATTTTAATTAAACTACAACTGATAAACCTTTGGAGTCAGTTCAATTCAAGATGGCTGCCATCCCTTACCAAAAAGAAGTACATCTATAAGTATACTAAAGTATAAACAAGTGTATTTCACTAAGTGTACTTTTTAATACCAATAACACTGATATACTGTAAGTATACTAGCAGTTCACTAACAAGTATACTTCTTGGGACTAAATTGGCCAACTTGAAGTTTATGAAAGTGTACTCAAAAGTATACTAAAAGTAATCCTCTAGGTATAGTATTAGTTTACCTATAATAAACTTTTAAGTATGCTTTTAGTTTATCAATGTACACTTGAATTTATACTGTAAGTACTCTTCTGGGTATATTATTAGTTTACTAGCAGTAAACCTAGTGCCGTTTTATTAGTTTATAAAAGTATTTGAATGACCTGTGAATTGTGATCTTGTCTTAGTGTTGACAATTTATCGCAAAATATTGTGCCCTTTTTGATATTCCTTGCATGCCTGTCTGCTGCATCTCGTTTTTACGACCATCCATGGAGTTGTTCCTGACTCAATGCCAGAGTTGTAAAGTAACTAAGTACAAATACTTTGTTACTGTACTTAGGTAGAATTTTTGGGTATCTGTACTTTACTTGAGTAGCCGACTTTTTACTTCTACTCCTTAAATTTTTTAAAAATGCAATAAGTAGAAAGTCGTTACTTTTATTTCATTTTTGCTTGTTTTCATTCCAGCTTGTTATTTTAAAAAATAAATACTATCCATATAAACTGTGCCTCCTAGATAGAGTGAACTTAATTGTGGTTGAATGAGAAGTATAAATATATAAAATTCTGATACCGTATTAGTTTGTACACAAACAAATCATGTCACACTCCAGCAGGACATAATCATTTAAATAAAAGGACTGTACTTAAGCAGTATTTGTATTTCATGAATTATATTATTACATTTGGCCGCAGCCCTCAGATAGATTTTCATTTTGGAGAAAAGTTTTGTGCAGCCTTGATATATGTATATAAACTGAAAAAGCTGGACTAGTGCATCCTAAATTTAATATAAATTAATTATTTTAATACAATATGGTAATTTCTGCATTTGTTGAGGAGGCCACCTCCTAATAAATGTCCTTACAGAAAATCTAACTGCTCATTTTAAATCAATWCTTTTACTTTTAATACTTAAGTACAAAAAATATCAGATACTTTAAGARMTTTACTCAAGTAATATTCCTAAAGGAGACTTTAACTTTTACCAAAGTAATTTTTGGTTATCTTACCAAAAATTACTTTGGTAAAAGTTAAAGTTGTACTTTTTTTTAGAATAACGTGACTCTATAACTCTGCCTTGGCCACTTTATCACTGGTTTCTAAAACAGCACAACTCTATAGTTTTTCTGGTCACTTATATCACTGGATCTAACTGCACTACTCCAAATATATTGTCTGCTCCAAATACTGTATTGAACTGGTGTACATATGTTTTATATATTTTATCTTTATCCTTTGTTTTTTCTTCATTTGTTATATTTGTTATATTTGATACCTATTGCACCTTACACCGAAGCAAATTCCTAGTCTGTGAATCCTGTTCATTGACAATAAAACTGATTCTGATTCTTTTACTCAAGTATCACTTTGTGGTACTTTATACAACACTGCTCAATTCAATATAGAATGATATAATAATACAGAATGATGCTGGTAGGTATGAGGAATAAAGCAGAGGCTAAAAGCTAAAATGACTCCAGTGATCAGTGAAGGACTAGATTAGAGGCTAAACAAAAGCTTCCTCAGATACTCACTTCACTGGAGTCTTCCTGCTGGTTGATGACTGTGAGCGCGTCCTCAGAAGCTTGTCTCTTGGCCTCGGCCAGCGCCCTCTCCATTTTCGAGCGTTCTGCAGAGATCATCTCATGAGCCTTCCTCTCGGCGTCCGACACAGCCTTCTGCAGCTCCGACATGGCCTGCCGCTTCACCTCGTTCACCGCCTCTTCTGAGAAACACAGAGGAAAACAGGAACAGGGAGCGTTAACGGTTACGCTCCGTCGTCCTTTATTAAGACTCTTTAAACTTCCACCCTGTTGAAGTTCGGCAAACATCAACTTTCAATGTTTAAAACCAGCTGCAGAAACAAATGCTGCCAACTGGGAGTAACATCCATCACTTTTAGGTTTTCTGTTCTGGTCTCTTAAAGGGATCCCCGATTAGTTGTAACATTAGACTTTATTTGATAAACATTTATTTTAACTGTAAAATAAAGACTGTAAAAATACTGTAGGCTGTTCAGTTTTTATCATTTAAAAAAATATATTTTAACAAGGACGGACCCATTTTATTTACACGCAAAGCATTCTGGGTAAATGATGACGTGGATAGGTCCTTGGTGTGAGCGAGCTACATCTACCCTGAAGGTTAATCTTGGACAATATCTGATGATCGACTCTTTTAAATGAAACCAGAGAGCGTTGACAGAGAGGAGAAGGTAGAAATGACTCAGCCTGTAACTGAAAATATGGATGGAGGACAACAGAGCTGCTTCATGGAAGAAGAACCCCAGCTTAGCCTGTTAGCCTTCGCGCCAACACTATACTGCCTTATATGTATTAGCTCAGCGCTAGCACAACAAACAAGCTAAACTGAGGTCCTCCATCCATATTTTCAGTTACAGGCTGAGTCATTTTTGTATTCCCCTCTCTGTCGTAGATGGAGGACCTCAGTGACGAGAGGAGAATGTGTAGCGCTGACATAATACAAACATATGGTGATAGTGTTGGGGCTAACGCTAAAGCTAACAGTCTAAGCTGAGGTTCTTCTTCCATGAAGCAGCTCTGTTGTCCTCCATCCATATTTTCAGTTACAGACTGAGTCATTTCTACCTTCTCCTCTCTGTCAACGCTCTCTGGTTTCATTTAAAAGAGTCGATCGTCAGATATTGTCCAAGATTAACCTTCAGGGTGGATATAGCTCGCTAGCAGCCTCACACCGAGGACCTATCCACATCATCATTTACCCAGAATGCTTTGTGTGGAAATAAAATGGCCCTGTCCGTGTAATATACTTTTAAACTTTTAGTTTAAAAATGACAAAAAATAAACATCCTACAGTATTTTTACAGTCTTTATTTTACAGTTAAAATACAAGTTTATCAAATAAAGTCTAATGTTACAACTAATCATGGATCCCTTTAATGAAAAAAAAACTATTTCACATAATTTGCTGCAAAGTGTGAATAAGTTTCCAGCCGTCAGCTCTAATATCTCCACTACAGGACTTCCTCCGGTGGAGACTTTGTCTCAGGCTCTTTGTGTTCTTTTAACACAAGCACTCTGCATGAGTGAAGAGCTTTTTTATTTTTCAAGAGGTTGGTGTGTAAACTTCTTCACAGGAGGCAGACTAAAACAAATTTCCATCTCAGTTTGACACGTTTTGCCATCTTTCATCTTTGGCACAAAGTGAATAGAGAAATCTACAGCGTGCAATTCCTCAAAGGGGTTTTATTCACCGGCGGAGGAAAAAAAAAACGGTTGCCAAATATACACGACTCGTTAATCAAATGCTTATGTAGCGTGCGTTTCTCCCCTAATATGAATTCCTAATTTTCTTTTAAAAAGACAGCAACATTTTTTAAAAAGTAAATGATACAGCTTGTTCTTCCTCCAGATGTGCAGCGTAAACAGAGGCGCAGAAAGACAGGAATAATGCTCCTACAGAAGGACTGCCAGGTGTGTGAGACCAACCAAGGAGGCGAGGCTGATGCTGCTCTCTCTCCCATTTCCTCCTCTCGACGTTCGTCTGAGAAGAACCTCATAAATACCTGTCATTTTTCCTCGCTGCGCCCTTTCGTTGTTTCAAACTACAGCGCCTTATTCACATGTGCTTCTGTTACATGTGAACTTATAAGCGTGTCTTTGCTTGATGCTAAAAATATATATATTTTGGAAATCCTGTAAGCACACTGTCACACTTCTCAAGGCTTTTCGTCATTCTGTCAACCCCTTCTCTACCTTTACGCTTCGTTTCTGCTGCTTCCCCCCCCATCATCATCACCCCTTTTCTTTTTCTTCTCTCCTCTGCAAACACAACATGCATTATTCCAAGCTTCTCAATTATCTGGCTTAATGCATGCACCACTAAGATTAGTTTGCAAATTTAATTAATTCTTATCAAGGAGACTGCATAGCAGATGCTGGGGCAATTAGCACTTAATGGAAAACACGGGGGCAGCAATATTAACGTTTTAATTCCACAGAGATTTGCCAAGTCCCTGAGATGGGTTATTTCTGTCTGCTTTTTCACACTTCAGATCTTAGTTCTCAACCCGAACCAGACCGGAGAGTACGTGTCTGGTTCTAATTAAAGGCAAGAGGTGCTTGCAGCTTTAGGGGACCTGGCTGCTGCGAAAGATGTGACACAAACACACACGTATACTGTATATTTTTATATATATGCACACAAACACTGAAGGTGAGATCTTGGGAGTGAGACACGTTACTCACCCTGCTTGTTTTGGAGGTGCTTTAGTGCTGGGGAGAGCGGGATGCTTGTGGTACCTGTATGKAAAACAACTGCAATTAAAAGAGCCTTTTTCTGCTGGTGAAAATGCAGCACAGTATTTTGCCGACAGCAGCAGCATCTTTCCTCCGCAGGGTATTGGAGTATGAGTGCAACATAATAGTGCTGGGACTGAGGTGGAACCGGGGCTGAGCCGGTCGGCTCTTGGGACGGGCTCTGTCTACTGCGCAGTATACTGGAAGGCCCAAGCACTGCAGCACTCCCACCTTCGGCTACATATTAGAGTCAAAATAATAGCATAATATTGGTTTTATTGTGTATTTAGGTTGTTTGAGTTTGACTTGAATCAGTCATGGATTTATGAAGAAACCCATTGTATAAAAGTTGGGATGTTGTGTAAAACACAGCCATTTGCAAATCTCATAAATCCAGAATTTATTAAAAATGGAACATAAATTGTTTTTCTTTTTGCTACTCGCCTCTGCAGGTGTCCCCACAGCGAGCCAACTCGCACGATGGGAAATAATTTACGCCGGATGCCCTTCCTGACCCGACCCWCAGCCTCAGCAGCCTCGGGATTCTGAGACTGCCGAGCATCCTCGGTCCCCACCCCCCTCCCAGTGGAACCCAGTGGAAATATCAAATGTTGGAAGTAAGAATGTGTTTCATTTGCAGAAGTGTTTCTGAGTCCATGCAGGGATGTCCAGAACAGAACCAGGCTTGTTTTTAATGCAGTGGCCCKTGAGGGCCCGAAGATTACAACTGTCCGACATGAACATTCAGCCTCGCCTTTTTTGTGCAGATTRTTGACATTTTGTTTTTGATAATATTATTGTATTTATTTAACCTTTATTTATCCAGGTAAACTGATTGAGAATTAGGGATGCACGATATATCTGCATTAACATCGGTAT